CCTAAGGTTTACGGTTGAGGATTGAGGGTTTAGGGCTTTTGGGACGAGGTCCCAACCCAGGAGCCCCAGTGAGATGACAACACATGGGGTGTAAGGGATGTTATGTTACATGTATTTTAAGCTGTACCATGGTATATTCTGTGTGAATATGATTGGTAAAAGTAGGTTGGATGGCGATTGAAATTATTGGGTTTGTCATTCGATGACACTCCCTAGTTTGCAATGTTAGCAAGAGCGCTTCTACTTTCGGGCTTGGGGGGCTTTAGGGTTGTAGGGTTTTAGGGCTTTAGGGTTCTAGGGTTTGGGGGGTTTAAGGCTCTAGGGTTTTAGGGTTTTAAGGTTCTAGGGTTTTAGGGATTTAAGGTTTTCGGGTGTTAGGGTTTTAAGGTTTTCGGGTGTTAGGGTTTAAAATTTAAGGTGTTAGGGTTTTTATACAGGGTCTCAGGGTTTTATGGCTTTAGGGTTCTAGGGCTCTTTTAGGGTTGAGGGTTTGGGTTCTAGGTGCCTTGAGCCCTGCAGGTCCCGGCTCTGTTGCTTCGGGGCCCGGGCAAATGGCGGCGGCGCGCAGCGACTGCGCGGAGCCCGAGAACTCCGAGAGGATCAGAACCCCGCAGTCCGTCTCCTCTGGTCTTCGGGCTTCCGCGGTCCCTCCCCTCGACCCCTGAACCCTTGATCCCCCAAGCCCGGAATTAAACCCCTAAACCCCTAAACCCCAACCCCCTAAACTAAACCCCTAATCCCCCCAAACCCCGAATCAAACCCCTAGACCCCAAACCCCCCTAAACTAAACTCCACAACCCCCAAATCCCTAAAACCCCAAAGCCGGAATCCTGAGCCCTTAGGGCACAGGGACGCGAAACTCAAAAACCACAGGAAGGCTCCCCGCCAGACTTTGAGAGGAGAGGCCGAGTAGTGGGCCACCTAAAGTCCCTAAAACTCCCCAACAACTCCCCAAAAACTCCCAAAAGAAACACCCTAAAATCCTCAAGCCCATACAAACCCTAAACCCTAAACCCTAAACCCTAAACCCTAAACCCTAAACCCTAAACCCTAAACCCTAAACCCTAAACCCTAAACCCTAAACCCTAAACCCTAAACCCTAGCCCTAAACCCTAAACCCTAAACCCCAAAGTCCCCCAAACTCCCTCAGCAAATCACCTGTCGCCGGGTCCTCCTGGCACCACACGAACTCGTGGGCCTCCCTTGAGAGCGTGTCCCGCAGAGGCGTGTCCATGAAGACGTGCGCCTGGTTTAGGGTTTAGGGTTTGGGTTTAGGGCTTAGGGTTTGGGGTTTAGGGTTTAGGGTTTGGGGTTTGGGGTTTGGGGTTTAGGGTTTGGGGTTTGGGGTTTGGGGTTTGGGGCGTTTAGGGTTTAGGGCGTTTGGGGTCTAGGGCGTATAGGGTTTAGGGTTTTGGGGTTTAGGGTTTTTTAGGGTTTAGGGTTTGGGGTTTGGGGTTTGTTTCCATGAAGACGTGCGCCTTGGGGACTACGGATTCGCAGAGTCCTCAAAAGCCCCTCAAGTCCCTATAAAAAACCCGAATGCCCCCCTGAAGGCCCTAAACTCCCTAAAGTCCCTACAGTTTCTGGAGTCCCTAAAGTCCTTAAAGTCCCTCAAGTCCCTAGAGTCCCGAAACCTAGCCCCTAAACCCGAAACCCTAAACCCTAAACCCTAAACCCTAAACCCTAAACCCTAAACCCAGCCCACCAAGCTGCAAGCTCCCATGCTATCTAGGAGGCTCTAGGGTCAAGCCGTATGGAAGGTTACAGGGTTTAGGGTTTAGGGCTTAGGGGTTAGGGTTCAACTACATTAGAGGGTCCCTTATTGTCAAGTACCCTCAATTCGGAAATAATCCTTACACTACACAGGGGTCCACACTGTAAAGGAAGGTATCTTCCTTAATTGAGGGGTTCTTGGCCCAAAGCCCTAACCCGTAAACCCTACACCCTAGTCACGGTGCATGTGGTTTGTTCATGGATAGTTATAAGTATGGTAGCTATGCTTATAGCCCTATTTAGGGCACTTATAACCCTACTGAAAGCTACCCCTGAACCAAGAAGTAGGCGGTGGATGGAACCCGACTTGGCGCCAGCTACGGGCAGTTTAGGGCACGAGCTCAGGGGTCGAAGGCGGAACGGCAGAACCTCTTGGCAAAAATCTCCTCATGCAATCAACACCAACCCAAAACCCTAAACCCTAAACCCTAAAAAAAACTCCGAATGTGGCTCGCAAGTTCACCAAGGCCGAACACCACCCTTGCCGTCCAAAAGCCAAAAAACCCAACAACCCTAAAACCCTGAAGCCCAAATCCCTTGATGGCAGTGGAGGGAATGCCCAAACTCCAAACCCTAAAGCCCTGAAGCCCGACAACCCTAAACCCTAAAACCCTAAAGTCTAAAGCCCTGAACCCTAAACCCCAAACCCTAAACCCCCCTAAACCCTAAACCCTAAACCCTAAACACAAAACCCTAAATCCTAAACCCTACAGGCCCTAAACCCCAAACCCTCAACCGCGCCTTGACCATCAGTGCGGTCACGTCTACTCGGTTGAGGTCCTGGTAGAGGAAGTGGAACCTTGGGACATCGGCAAGTCGTGGTTCGCAATCTGGTTTAAGGTCTTGGGGGTCTTGGGGGTTTGAGGTTTACGGTTCAGGGTTTACGGTTTAGGGTTTAGGGTTCAGGGTTCAGGGTTTAGGTTAGGGTTTGAGGTTTAGGGTTTAGGGGATGAGGTCTAGGGTTAGGGTATAGGGCTTGTCCACGACGCTTTCAGCGCTTGGTCACACTTTCCAGCTTTCACTTGCATTCGTCCCATGCTGAGTTGCATCTGTTGAAGCATCTGCCCGAAGATTATGGGCCCTTAAAAGGGCACCCCACATACAAACGCAAGGGCCCAGACTTCATAGAGGACCATATTAAGGGCCCATGAAACTACCCTTAGATAAACCCTGAACCCTAAACCCTAAACCCTGAAAATTCTGAACTTGGGGTTCAGGGTTGAGGGCTTGGAGGTTCATGGATAAGTATGGCAACTATACTTGTAACCCCATGTAGGGCACCTACAACCCTACTGAGAATTACCCGACACCCTAAGCCCTAAAATTCCCTAAACCCTAAACCCTAAACCCGAAGCCCAAAACCCTAAACCCTAAACCCTAAGCCCCCTCTAAGTCGGGCTCCTTTTCGGATCCGGGGCCCCGCACGGCAGGTGGCCGATGGATCCGAAGGCAGAATTGCACTCTCCGCCCATCTGGTATACCTGCCATGGTTTAGGGTTTAGGGTTTAGGGTTTAGGGTTTAGGGTTTAGGGTTTAGGGTTTAGGGTTTAGGGTTTAGGGTTTAGGTTTAGGGTTGAGGGCTGAGGGTTTAGGGTTTAGGGTTTAGGGTTGAGGGTTGAGGGTTGAGGGTTGAGGGTTGAGGGTTTAGGGTTTAGGGCTTAGGGTTTAGGGTTTAGGGTTTAGGGTTTAGGGTTTAGGGTTTAGGGTTGTTTAAGCAATGAGAGGCCCCTGTGGGGAGGCACGCTCCTTGGGCCCTAAAAAACCCTGACCCCTCAGACCCTAAAGCTGAAACCCTAAACCCTAATCCCTAAACCCTAAACCCTAAACCCCAAACCCTAAACCCTAAACCCTAAACCCCAAACCCTAAACCCTAAACCCTAAACCCCAAACTTCCCTCTCGCGGTGGCGGCTCGGAGACGCACCGGCACCCGAAACCCCTAGACAACCTCGAGGATCCTCCCAGCAGTCTGGCCCAAAACCGTAACCCCCTGAACACCCCTAAACCCTAAACCCTAAACCCTAAACCCTAAACCCTCAACCCCTAAACCCTAAACCCTAAACCCTAAACCCTAAACCCTAAACCCTAAACCCTAAACCCTAAACCCTAAACCTTGGTAACTGTACTTGCAACTTATACCCCTATTTTACGGCACTTCGGACCCTACTTATAACTACCCATGGACCTCTAGGCAGGACCTCAATGCCCAGTCGTTCGTTTAGGGTCTAGGGTTTGGGTTTGAGGGTTGGGGCGTATGGCGATTTATGGTCTAGGGTCCAGGGTTTATGGTGTAGGGTTTAGGGTATTTTAGGGCTTGGGGGAATGCGGTTTAGGGTGGTTTAGGGTCCAGGGTTTATGGTTTATGGTCTTGGGCTGAGATTGGCGACCCATAAACCCTATAAGCCCCAAACTTGGGATGTTAACAATCCTTAATAGACTGTTAGCATAAGGGGGAACATCCCAACCACATATTTTAAATTTTAAAGTTTAAAATCTAGAGCAACGACTAAACGCTAAAGGCGTCCGGTGCTGAAAAGCCCCCCTCGCTCCCTTTTTTGTCCGCACCGAAAGAGGCATGCTTTGGGCACGCGCGGCACACAAGCGGGCCACTCTGCCCATCCTGCACGGAGGGGCTGTGCGCATCCCTAAACCCTGAACCTGAAACCCTTAAACCCCTAAGGCCCCCGAAAATCCCGAAAGCCCCACACCCCCTGAACAGCCCTAAACCCCAAACCTAAACCCTAAACCCTAAACCCTAAACCCTAAACCCTAAACCCTAAACCCTAAACCTAAACCCTAAACCCTAAACCCTAAACCTGAACCCTAAACCCTAAACCCCAAAAAGGGACCTTTGGGCCACACATGGCCTATGTTGGGGGCGACCTAGGTAGAGAAGGACCCTATGAACCCCAAACCCTTAAAGACCCCAGAAACCCTAAGAACCCGAAAGGCCTCAAAAGCCCAAAACCCTTTTTCAAACAGAAGTTTAAAAACACAACAAAACACCTACAAACCCCTAGAAAACCCTAACAATACCCAAAAACCTTTAAGAAGAGAAAAGAACCCAAAAACTCTACAAAACCCCCCTAAACCCCAAACCCTACACCCTACACCCTAAACCCTAAACCCCATACCCCAAACCCCAAACCCCAAACTCCAAACCCCAAACCCTGCACCCTAAACCCTAAACCCTAAACCCTACAAAAACAGGCTACAAACGCCCTGGCCTTCAGCGCTCCCAAGCGCGCAACCGCGCGCCGACGAACTCCTGGCCTGACGGCTTTGATCGCTTCAGCGGCTTTAGGGGCCTTAGGGCCTTTCGGGGGTCTAGGGTTTAGGGTTTAGGGTTTAGGGTTTCGGGTTTTGGGTTTTGGGTTTAGGGGCTTTAAGGGCTTGAGGGGCTTTCCGGCGCACTGCAAGCGCCAACGAAACTAATCAGACCAGCGGCCGAGCCACAGAAGCACTGTGTGGGGCCAGAGTCCTGGATATTTGGGTTTGGGGCCACAATCCTGGGGTTTAGGGTTTAGGGTTTAGGGTTTAGGGTTTAGGGTTTAGGGTTTAGGGTTTAGGGTTTAGGGTTTAGGGTTTAGGGTTTAGGGTTTAGGGCTTTCGGGACACTCTGTAGCCCGCTGCATTTAGGGCTTTGAGGGGATCGGGTCTAGTCGGGGACTCCGTAGCTCCTAAGCCTTCATAGGAAAAGAACAGGGTTTAGGGGTTAGGGTTTAGGGTTTAGGGTTTAGGGTTGAGGGTTTAGGGTTTAGGGTTTAGGGTTTAGGGTTTAGGGTTTAGGGTTTAGGGTTTAGGGGGTAGGGTTTGGGGTTTTCACGGTGAAGGGTTTAGGGTCTAGGGTCTAGGGTTCAGAGACAGAAGTGCCTTTGTTGTTGCTCAAAGAAAGCATACAGGACCCTACTAGCCCCCCCAAAAGGAAGGAATAGGGCTCCTACCTAAACCCTAAACCCTAAACCCTAAACCCTAAACCCTAAACCCTACACCCTAAACCCTAAACCCTAAACCCTAAACCCTAAATCCTAAACCGTAAACCCTAGTCTTTGTTTGGAGGGCTTTCGGATCCATTCCCGTAGAGCTGCGCAGGAACGTGGCAGACAGACCTCACGGGGCCAAGCCCTAGGGTTTAGGGGTTTAGGGGTGTTTGGGAGTGTTTAGGGGTGTTTAGGGGTGTTTAGGGGTGTTTAGGGGTGTTGAGGGGTGTTTGGGGGTGTTTAGGGGTGTTTAGGGGTGTTTAGGGGTGTTTAGGGGTGTTTACTTGGAGGTTCATGGGACTTACTAACCACTTATAACCGGGCTTATAGCCCTACTTATAACTGGGATAACCCCTATAAGGCCCTTTAGGGCCCTACTTTTAACTGGGATAACCCCTATAAGGCCCTTTAGGGGTATTATAAGCACGGTTATATAAGTGCAGTTGTAAGTGGTTAATAAGTACCATGAACCTTCAAGTAGGGGTTTAGGGGTTAGGGTTTTGGGTTTTGGGTTTAGGGTTTGGGGGGTTTAGGGGCTGCAAGGCCAGCGGATATTTGGAGGTTGGGGGGTTCTGAGCTGGCTTTGCTATTTTCGAGGCCCCTTGGACTTCGTAAGTAGGGTTCAGTCGGGTCTAGGGTACTAGAACAGGGTTTGTAAAGAGGGGGGGGGGGGGGGTACTAAGTAGACTTAGTCAAACAAAGCTTAGGGTGTAGGGTTTAGGGTTCCCTCTACCTTGTGAGGATGGCACGTACGAACCTCAGCTTGATTCAGGGAAGGGACCCCCTGAACGGCCAGATCTACTAGTCAACCGTCAAGACCCCGGATCTTCCAAAATGGGCCCTGAACCCCAAACCCTAAACCCTAAACCCCAAACCCTAAACCCTAAACCCCAAACCCTAAACCCTAAACACATTCCTTTCATCGTTTGTGCCTTCAGTCGGCTACTTGGGAAGATCGGCTTGGAGCTCCCTGGGTCGGTTCTAGGATTCAAGGCGCTTGGTATGGTTCATAGAAGCCGTGCGCACAGAACGATGCTGCCTTGGGGGGTCGGGTTTAGGGTCTAGGATTTAGGGTGGTTTCGGGTTTAGGGTTTAGTGTTTCAAGTTACTACTTGGGAGCTTATCGGTAGCTATAAGTAGGGTTAGAAGTCATGGGTAACTCTACGATCAACGCAAGTTAGTGTACGTATTAGCCCTGGCTAGGGCACTTTGAACCCCCGACTGATAAGTACCCATGAACCTTTGAAGCAAGGCAATCTGCTCATCTAGCCAAATCTAGGCTGCCCAGTCACCTATTTTGCTTAAAGGGGTTTATAAGGGAACCTAAACCCCCAAAAAAAGGGAATAAGGGTACTACTGGGCATCCTAGAAATAACTTGTACTCTTCACAGCTGTAATCCCTGCCGGGCATGGGCCGTTGCAAGCTCTACTTGGAGGTTCATGGTACTTACTAACCACTTATAACTGTACTTGTAACCCTACTTATAACACCCCTAAAGGGCCTTATAGGGGTTATCCCAATTATAAGTAGGGTTATAAGTACAGTTATAATTGGTTAGTAAGTACCATGAACCTTCAAGTAGCAACCCGGTGCATCTAACCCTTGGCCACCCAGCCTTTGTAGAACGCAAGGATGCCCTCCGTGGCCAACGTTTTCCGAATGACGTCAAGTGGGCCTCACCAGGTTTGAGCACTTCAAGAGCGGCGGAGTATACCCGAACTCCCCCAAGCAACACAATCTCAGAGTGCCAACCCCATTTCGCTTGTTCGTAGGCTGGCGCCACGTCGCCTGCACGTGCCCACTTCCTACCGTGACGTCCTCAGCACACCAGAATTAAAAGTGGAAAATCAGATGCTGCGTCCTGGCGCTCTCCTCACATTCAAGCCAAGGGGACGACGTACTCGGAGCGCACCACGTAGGTTGGAGACACGAGAATGCGGGAGCCGTGGGGTTCGAGGTCGACCGACATGCCGTAAAGGTCCTGCATCTGCTTGCAGAGGTTGTCGAAAGACTCGGGAGAAACCTGGTGGCAATCCTTGTCAACGTGCCAAGTGATGACGTAAGGAGAGCACACCGAGTTGTCGTGCGACTGGCCGGTGGTTGACCTGGGATGATTGAGGGCTTCGGCTCGAGGGTTTGGGGTTGCTTAAGGCTTGCAAGGCTTCAAACTTAGGTCGGTTCGGGACCCTACTTTTCGAAAGAAAGTGCCGCACTGAGAAAACCACTCCGCCTGATAACGACACTCGGTCTGGAAGGAACCGTGCCTCTTGCAAGCCACGTGACCCAGAGTACATGACTGAATTGTTGTGCCCAACCACCTTAGTAGCCCAGTAACCATATTATAATAAGGGCACCCTTTTTGGGTTGGTTACTTTATAAGGGAACCTTGAACCCCAAAAAGGGGAAAAGGGTACCACTGGGCTACCAAGCCACTGTCCAGCCATGCAGCAGGTCGTTCACCGTAGGGCCCCCGGTCACGATCTGGTAGATCTGGCTCTGCACCACAACCATAGGGTTCAAAAGGCCGCGGCCGTTGGCGGCACCTGCAACATGAACTCATGAAGACGCGCTCAGATGCTTCCGACAAACACTTTGACTTGAATAGAGAAGTAGACACACACACAGGGGTCAGGCTGGTTGGTTGCATGCCATGCTCACGTGCCTCCCAAACCATCAGCAAGGAGGTCCGCATTCATGCCGTCCGAGGCATCGTTGTCGGTGCCGGCTGTAGAGTGCACGTAGTGGACCTCGTAGGACTTGCCGACCTGCACGTCACCCTTGCAGTACTGGAAGGTGTACGGCGTCATCTGCGCGTCCGTGAGCGTGTCCGTGGGGCACATGAAGCCAGGGCGCGGGTTGCCGGCCAGGCGCCTGCCGGAGGAGGCCGCATCGTACGCCTCTGCGTCGGTTCCGTTGTTGTAGGCATCGCTCTTGTGCTCAGCCCCCAAGTGGAAGTGCACGTTCACCAGCGGCAGGAAGTTGGCCTGAGCATCCGTAAGGGTCGCCGCCTTCGGGACCATACTGCCGGAAGCACCAGTTGAGAGATCACGAGGTGTCTGAGGCTCGGCCGTGTTGCAAGCTGGCTTGTTGAAGTTGTACGGGCAAGGGAGTCCCTGGCACGGGGTTGCTCAGCACCGTGGTCGGGGAGCCACAGCACTGCTCACTCTTGTAGAAGTCCTTCAACTCGCCGCAAGTGACGGCTTCCGCCCCGACGGCCAGCGCCAGCACCAACGCCAAGCCTGTGGCAACCTTGGGCCGGGCCGTGGCGAGGGGCAGCACCAGCGCCATCCATGGCGAGGCGCGGAATCAGGAGCCCGTCTCTTCGCCGGTTGACTCGCAAAGATCCACCTCCGGATCGTCGGGGCTCGTGGCGATGGCGACTTTGGCGAGGCAGGCGAGCGCAAGCAAGCGAAACATGGCTGAGGTTTATAAGGCCTGTGTCTCGTCACCACTCTCAGCTTCTGACTTGCAAACACTCAGAACGCGCAGAAGAAAGCTTCATCAGGCTTAGGGTCCAGCGTCTCCAGCGTCTAGGGCTCAGGGTTCAGGGGTTAGGGGTTTAGGGTTCAGGGTTTAGGGGTCTAGGGTTTGGGGTTTAGGGTTTAGGGCACGTTTAGGCGCGCATAGAGGCCCTCTCTGATGATCCTACATCTCAAGCTCCAAAACCTAAACCCTAAACCTACAAGCGGTTTTAGGGTCTCGGGGGACTCGAAACCCTAAACCCTAAACCCGAAACCCTAAACCCTAAACCCTAAACCCTAAACCCTAGAAGGAGGGCCTGCATAGGAGATGCCGCAAGTCTGCTGCATGTTGATGATGCCTCAGCGCTGGCATATGATGGCCAAGAAGCGAGAGTCAGAGAGCGCATCCCCGTAGTGGAAAAATCAGTCGGTTTAGGGTCTAGGGTATTGCGAGTTAGGGTTTAGGCTTTAGGGTTTAGGGCTTTAGGGTTTAGGGCTTTAGGGCTTAGGGCTTAGGGTTCTTGCGGTGACCGCTTCCAGCAAACCAGGCCACGGAATCGTGGCACATGGGGAGTTCCCAACCATGAGGCCTTCCCAACCATGAGGCCTCCCCCGTTACAACCCAACCCACCTTCACAAGGGGCCCTTTATCTTCGGAAACCCCTCCACTGGACCGAAACCCTGAACCTTACAACTTTTTGGGTTTAGGGTTTAGGGTTCAGGCCTTAGGGAGTCGGGTCCTCAACCCCAAACCCTAAACCCGACCAAGAAGGCCAAAGTGCGAGTCTTCACGCAGTCTACCGGCTGTGTGGCCAAGCAGGCCACCGTGGCAGATGCCATCGCACAGCTGAGATGCAGCCTGGCTCGGCTTCGGGAGTTGGGGTGTGGCGTAGGGTTTAGGGATTCGGGTTTCGGGTTTAGGGTTTAACGGTTTAAGGTGTTGGGGTTTCCGCTGCCTCACGCCTTCCACCGCACCCGCCGCCAGAGCGCGTGACTTCACCTCCTGGTCAAGAACTCCGGTGACAAAGGGGTTTCGGGTTCAGGGTCTGAGTCTAGGGTTTAGGGTTTAGGGCTTGGGGTCTTCTGGTTCATGTAGGGATTTTCCCGAAACGTGACGGAGGCTTATGCTTATGGTTCATCTGAAGCTACACAGGGCTGAACCCTGAACCCTCAAGACGCTAGTGGGGTGTTGGGCCAAGGGGATGTCACATGCTCCGCGCACACCAGCGCACGGGACGTGCGTTGAGGTGAGCGCCCAAGTGTTCCCTACCAACCCACACCCAATCCATGACATTGGTCGGGTTTATGGTTTGCATACTTGTCTTTCGCGTTACTAGCCTCATAAAGCAATCGCAATGGCTCTAGAAAAACTGGGGTCATGGCCTTCCTGTCCTGGAGGCCTCCGATCTCGATGTGAAGTTTCTGCTTTGGTCTGAAACAGACTTTGAGCTTCATCAACCCTAAACCCTGAACCCTAAACCCTAAACCCTAAACCCTAAACCCTAAACCCTAAACATACTTTGAGAAGCATCTCAGTTTGCTGAGAATCAGGGATCGTGCTTTGGGATGTGGGAGACCTCATGCCATGGTCTACAGGACCTGTAGCGTGTTTGTGGACTTCCAAAAATTTCCAGGGTTTGGGGTTTGGGGTTTGGGGTTTGGGGTTTGGGGTTTGGGGTTTAGGGTTTAGGGTTTAGGGTTTAGGGTCAGCCTCTCCAAAAGTCTCGAGGGCCTGGGCATCTGGTCGGAAAACCTCCGTGGAAGCTTCGAATTTAGGGTTGTTTAGGGTTCAGGGTTCAGGGTTCGGGGTTCAGGGTTCAGGGTTCAGGGTTCAGGCTTCAGGATTCAGGCTTCAGGGTTCAGGGTTTAGGGTTTAGGGTTTAGGGTTTAGGGCTTAGGGTTTAGGGTTTAGGGTTTAGGGTTTAGGGTTTAGGGTTTAGGGTTTAGGGTTTAGGGTTTAGGGTTTGGGCTTGTTCGGGTCCTCGTAGGTGGCCAGCTGCGACATCGTCACCAGCGCCGCGCGAGCAGTGGTTGGTCCCACGCCGCGGTACAGAGCCTCCCAGATCTCTGACGGGGTAGGGTTTAGGGTTCAGGGTTTAGGGTTTGGGGTTTAGATTTTAGGGTTTGGGGTTTGGGGTTTCGGGCTTAGGTTCGAGGCTGGGGATCTGGGGTTAGCGTATTTGGGACTTAGGGTTAAGGGTTCAGGGGGGGTCTTGTTGCAGTCGGGATCTTCTCTCTCCCTTCGCGGAAACAAAGGTCTCCTTCAGCGTTGGACCCTACCCACAAAGCCCAATACCCTGTAGTTAGGGGAGACACCCTGAAAAAGTCTAGTCTGCTTTCAAAAGCCGTTTCTTTCACTGTCCTCATTGAGGGGGGCATTGGGCCCCAAGCCCCAAACCCTGAGCCCCAAAACCCTAAACCCAAACCCCAAACCCTAAACCCGAAACCCGAAACCCCAAACCCTAAACCCTAAACCCTAAACCCAAACCCTAAAAAACCCGAGGGCCTTCCATCCTTCCTCATGAAGCACCCGCGTCAGGCCATGCACGGCGTGGCGGTACAAACCTGGTGTCGGGACCCCAAACTACATCTCTACTGAACATCCTGAACCCTAAACCCTAAACCCACTTACGGGTTTAGTTTTGGGGTGTGGAGTTTAGGATTTGACCCTGACAATCTTCAAAGCGGCTTAACGCCTTAAAGCCGTTGGAAGCCCCTGCAAAAGCCCGTAAAGCCCTTTAGTGCCTCCGGAAAGGGTTTGGGGTTTAGGGCTTAGGGCTTAGGGCTCTTAGGGCTCTTAGGGCTCTTAGGGCTTCTAGGGACTATAGGGTTCCAGGTTTTGGGACTTCATGGGTAGGAAAAAGCCAGGTTATGATTATGGTAAATTCTACATACAACCCTATTTAGGGCACTTACTGCACCCTAAACCCTAAACCCCTAGACCCTAAACCCCTAACCCGAAAGCCACTTATACATACCCAAATGAAACCAGCGAGTACCCTTAAACCCACCAAACCCTGAAACCCTGGGCTCTTATGTGCCAGGCGTACGGGGCACGGGGTTTTAGGGCCGGGGAATTCGGATTTGGGGTTTACGGTGCAGGCGTTGGGGGTTTGGGGTTCAGGGGTTTCCCTAAACCCTAAACCCTAAACCCGAAACCCTAAACCCTAAACCCTAAACCCAGGTTAGGGTTGAGGGAAACCATGAACCCGAAACTACAGGACGAGCCCAGGCGCGGCGATGTTGTGGGGCCCAGCCCGCGTCCGACTGCATGCGAATGAGTACCTTTAAGGGGTTTAGGGTTTAGGGTTTAGGGTTTAGGGTTTAGGGTTTAGGGTTCAGGGTTCAGGGTTCAGGGTTCAGGGTTCAGGGTTCAGGGTTCAGGGTTCAGGGCGTTCTGGCGGAGGGTTTGGGCTTGTTGGTTCCATGGTTGCAGGACTCTCATCAAGCGAACACATGCTGCTTAAGAGTGCGAAAGCCCTAAAGCCCAGAAGCCCTGAACCCTAACCCTAAGCCCTAAACCCTAAACCCTGAACCCTGAACCCTAAACCCTAAACCCTAAACCCTAAACCCTGGTCCCGCCACATCCGTTGGGTTGGCTACCACCGCGGCGACGACGCCGGCGGCCAGACCGGCTTGTAGCCGCCAGAGCAGAGGTACTGGTCCTCGGGTTTAGGGTTTAGGGTTTAGGGTTTAGGGTTTAGGGTTTAGGGTTTAGGGTTTAGGGTTGCTGGGTTTAGTGTCAGGGTTCAGGAGAAGCTCATGTACGCACCAGAACAACCGCCAGGAAAAAGGGTCTTCTTTCACCCGCAAGTCATGAGGGAGGCTACACGTGCCGTCGGAGTGAGCAGAAACAACGGTTTAACAGCGTCAACACACATGCAATACCGCACATGGGCAAGAAGAATCAGGCATGACCAAGTGGAGAGGCCAGTTTCACTAAACTGCGTATGTTGGGCAGCTTACATGATAGTTGGTAGTAACTTAAGCTCCTGTAAAAGTCCCAGGGTCTTAGCCTAACCTCAGACCCTAAACCCTAAACCCTGACCCGATAGAAAAGGGGGAGAGGTTGATAGAAAAGCCCGGGAGCAGTGGGGGGGTGGAGAGGGTTTAAGGGGGGGCTTCAGGGGTGTTAGAGGGTCCTCAGCAGCGCCCCGAAAGGCCACGAGATAAGTCTGCTATGTTGATCCTTCATATGGGTTTAGGGTGCAGGTGTGTAGGGGTTTCGGGCTAAGCCCGCTGCGAAAACCCTAAACCCTTGACCTCTAAGGAGTCCCTAGAGGGAGAGGTGCGATCTCACAGCCAAAACATAATCATCATGAGCATGATCATAATGCTCATACTCCTAGTGATCATAATAATTGATCTGAGTCACAATCCTAATGCCCCTCAAACAAAAGCATAAGAATCTAACCCTAAACGAAAGCATAAGAATCTACATAATCCTCTCTGTATTATCATAACCATCATCATAAGCACCAGAAAATACTCACAATCAGAATAATAAACATGATCACAATCACCATAATAACAAGAATAAGAAATACCATATGTAATCACAACAAGAACCGTGACCATAACCATAAAAATAACAACCATCACAAGACACATAGTAACAACCATCATCATAAGAATAACCCTATTAACAATACAAACCAGAATTGCAATAATACAGAGAATATTAACCATAACAATATTGATAATCATCATGAAAATCATAGCATGATCAAACAACGATAACCATCTTTAATACCCTAATAGCAATTCTGAGTGTACTTCTGATAAACATATTAAGAATAACAGTCAATCTAATAATGATAACAATAACAATAACGGTAATACAATGTGAATGAAGCCAGTTCTAGGGTTCTTGAGGGAAGCGGGGTAGGTACATAGGGAACGTTGGGGAAGCTTAGGGAGTAGTAGGGAGCATTGGGGAACCTAGTGTTGCATACCCCCCCTTGAACCCCTTTCCCTCAAGAACCCTACAAGCCAAGGTTCCCCCGTCCACCTGGCCGCAGCTTTCCAAGACGCCTGGCCCCACGACGTTCGGGGGTTTAGGGGTGCTTGGGGGTCAGGGTTTGGGGTTTAGGGTTTGGGATTTGGGGTCTGGGGTTTCGGGCTTGGGGTTTGGGGTTTGGGGCTTGGGGAGTTGGGGAGTTGGGGAGTTGGGGAGTTGGGGAGTTGGGGAGTTGGGGAGTTGGGGAGTTGGGGAGTTGGGGAGTTGGGGAGTTGGGGAGTTGGGGAGTTGGGGAGTTGGGGAGTTGGGTTTTGGGGCTTGGGGAGCAAGAGCTCAGGGTTTGAAACCGCTTCTTGTTTCTTCTCTTTCTGGCCACTTGAAATCTAGGACTGCAGCAGGCTTGGCCCAGAGGATAAAAAGCCTGGAGACCCCAATACCCCTTAACCAAGGAGCTTTCCTTGAATTATGTTGAGTAAGGATTGTTTGGAGCTCCAGGAGTAGTTACAAGTAGGGTTAGAGTTGTGGTAGCTATACTTGTAACCCTATTTAGCATACTTATAACCCTACTTATAACTAACCGTGAACCTCCAAGTGGGGTTCCGAGTGAAACCTCAACCCCTAAACCCTGATCAATCCTGCAACAGTCCCTGGAAGGACCAGGGTCTCGTCCCCTGCAACATGCACCGAATCCATGTCGAAGGTAACCCTTAATCGTTTCGGGGTTTTGTGTTTAGGGTTTTGGGTTATTTAGGGCTTAGGGCTTAGGTTAAAGGGTTTATTTAGGGTTTAGGGCTGAGGGCTGAGGGACACCTATGCAAAAATCACCCTGAACCGAACCCCTAAACCCTTTCCCCCGCGCTGGCCATAGAGGCCGTGCCGGAGAGTGCCGAAGACGGCCTGGCCCGCGTGTTTCAAGGCTATCGAGGGACTCTGGCTTGGACCCTAAACCCTAAACCCTAAACCCTAAACCCTAAACCCTAAACCCCGCTTGGATCCTTGAGGGCTTTGGTGTTTAGGGTTTAGGGTTTTTGGTTTGGAGTCTAGCCTTAAGGGCCTTTAGGGTTTATGGATGTGGGGTTTACACCCTTCCATAGTCACTGTTTGCCTCTGTGGCCTTAGGGGGTCCCCCGAATAGTAGGTTTTAAGGTTTAGGGTTTAGGGTTTAGGGTTTAGGGTTTCGGGTTTAGCTTGTCCTGTGTTGGGGTGTAGGGTAGCTTCAGCGTGCGGCTGGTCGTGCCCCCTACACCCTAAACCCATGGTTCGGACGAATCGCGCCCCAAAACCCGCCAACACCCATGGGCTCCAGAAGTACCTACCACCCAGGGTTTAGGGTTTAGAGTTTAGGGTTTAGGGTTTAGGGTTTAGGGTTTAGGGTTTAGGGTTTAGGGTTTAAGGTTTAGGGTTTAGGGTTTAGGATGCTCAAAAATCGAAGAGCAAAGTAGTCTCAAGGTAGTAGGGGATTTGCTACGAGGTACCCTTGGAAAGTTTTAGAGGACACCTGTGACAAAACCCTTGCCCTATATCCTCTCAACACAAAACCCACAAGACTAAAGCCAGACCCGAAACCCTAAACCCTGAACCCCAAACCCTAAACCCTAATCCTTAAACCCGAAACCCTAAACCCACCGGACACGTCGACCCACACCTTGCAAACTTTGAAAGAATTTAGGCTTTGGGGCAATAGACAACTACAACCCGAAGCCCGTCAAACCCTAAACCCAACCCTAAACCCTAAACCCTAAACCCCAAACCCAAAACCCTAAACCCTAAACCCCCACATCCCCTCTGTGGCCCAAGGTCCTGGCGCAACCAGGCCGCCGTGATGCCGGCGTAGAGGCCCCTGGGGCCTTCCTCCACCTCCCAGGGCTCTTCGTAGTGGATGTGGGGTTTGGGGTTTGGGGTTTAGGGTTTATGGTTTAGTTTAGGGTTTAGGGTTTAGGGGTTAGGGGTTAGGGTTTAGGGTTTAGGGTTTGGGGTTTGGGGTTTGGGGCTTGGGGTTTGGGGTTTGGGGTTTGGGGTTTGGGGTTTAGGGTGAGGTATATGCTCGGAATTTAGAGGTTCTCGTAGGGTGAGGGGTTTAGGGTTTAGGGACGTTTCGGGTTTAGGGTTGAGGGTCAGGAAGATGAGAGTGCAGTTAGGGTGTTGGGATATTGGGGGTTTAGGGTTGTTTTGACAGGTTACCCTAAACCCTAAACCCTAAACCCTAAACCCTAAACCCTAAACCCTAAACCCTAAACCCTAAACCCTTGGTAGTTTTCAGAGAGTTTCGGGTTCAGGGCGGGGAGGGAGTGAGGCTTTCAGGGGCCCCAAAGGGTTACCTCCAAGAGACTACGGCCCTAAGCCCTAAACCCTAGTACTTGGGGGGTACCGCCCTAAACCCCAAACCCTAATACTTGGGGGGTACCGCTTGGGGGGGGGGGGAGGAGGTAGAAAAACCGCGGTGAACTCAGGTCTTCTTGGGCTTTTGATCTGCTTCGGGGGGGTCAAAGGGCTTGATCTTCAGGGCTTGAAAGGCTTAAGGGTTTGACCCCCTAAACCCGAGCCCACCCTAAACCCTAAACCCTGGAGCTTCGGGCTGAGGCAGGGCGTTTAGGACTTCAGGGTTTGAGGGTTCTGGATTTTGGGGTTAGAGCTTTTGGGGCTGAGGATTTAAGTTCTAGGATGCCTGGTTGTAGGGTTTCGGGTCTAGGGCTTTGGGGTTTAGGGCTGTAAGGCTAAGGGTTAAGGGCTTAGGGTTGAGGGCTTTGGGGTTTAGGAATTTGGGGTTTAGGGTTTTCGGGCTTTAGGGTTTTCGGGATTTAGGGATTTAGGGCTTTAGGGATTTAGGGCTTTAGGGCTCAGGGATTTAGGATTTCTGGGTTTCCCATGGCCTTAGTGTTTGGGGTTACGGCTCTCGCAAATCGTGGTGCAGCCGCGCGACGGCGAGCTTGCGCGCCACGGCGGTCATGTCCCCTAGGTTGCGGAACGATGCGCTGTGCCCCTTGGGCCTTAAGCCCTAAAACCCTAAACCCAAAACCCCAAACCCTAAACCCTAAACCCTAAAACCCTAAACCCCCTTGAAAAACCTGAACCCCCAAAACCTACCACCCTAAGCCTCTACAACCCCAAACGCCTCATGGTACAACCCTTGACAGAATCGTGGCGAGCTAAGCTTTACATCGGTAATTGGAGTCTGGGAGTTCTTGGGCTCCAAAAACGCTCGTGAATGGACGGAAGATGCCTTGAGTACGGTTTGGGGTGTGTTCCCTTATGTGTATGAGAGGCGCATTTGGGAGCGTATGGGGTCTATTTTGGATTTACGGGTTGCGGGCTAAGGGTTTTAGGGTCTAGGCTTTAGGGTTTCGGGTTTAGGGTCTAGGGTTTAGGGTTGCGGGCTTCAGGGCAATGGCGGCAGCAATTGGAGCAGTCTTTCTGGAACACTCTGTGCCAATCAAACTTGATGCCTTTGCAGGCCACCACCTTAGGCCCCCAGAAAAGAACCTTAGAAAGCACCAGCAACATACTTTCAACCTTAACCCTAAACCCTTAAACACCCTCAACCCTAAACCCCAAACCCTTAAGAATCTTAAAACCCTAAACCCACAAAACCCTACAGTAGCTAACCCTACAAAACCCTTTAAAACCCAACCTAAACACCTTAAGCCCTGAAGGTACCCTGGCAAACCCTGCAAAACCCTACAAAACCCTTTAAAAACCCAACCTAAACACCTTAAGCCCTGAAGGTTTAGGAGGCCGTCCCAAGTGGCTCAGGCGCAACGTCCTCAGGGAGCTGTCGCACTCGCCGGTGAGCTGTAGGCGGACCTGCGTCTGAGGGTTTAGGGTTTAGGGTTTAGGGTTTAGGGTTTAGGGTTTAGGGTTTGCTGTGATAGGGCGTAGATGCTGTGAAGGTTAGGTTTTGGAACAAGCTCGAAAGCGTCGTGAGGTGCGAAGAGCAGCTTTGGCCCGATTGTGGAAGGCCATCTAACACTTTTCTCCCACCCCACGCCGTCCAAGGCGGCAAAGCCACCCAAACCTATTCCTTTTAGGGTTTAGGCCTAAACTCAAGCCAACTGCTTTCTTTACATAAAACTTCTTCATTCCGTCACGAAGGACCACGGGCCCAGGCCAGGGTCAGTCTGGGCCCGGCAGAGGGGCCCAAAGCGGCCCAGAGGAGGCGCCAAAATTAGGGGTTGTAGGGGCCAGGTGGGCAAAGGGGAGCGGGGGGGGCCAAAAGGCCCAAGGGGTTGGGGGCAGGGGGGCCCAGACGGGCCCAGAAGGGCCCAGGAAGGGCCAAGACGGGGCCAGCAGGCCAGGGAAGGCCAGGGGGGGGCAGGGGGGGCCGGGGGGGGGCCGGGGGGGCCAAGGGGGGGCCAAGGGGGGGCCAGGGGGGGCCAGGGGGGGCCAGGGGGGGCCAGGGGGGGCCAGGGGGGGCCAGGGGGGGCCAGGGGGGCCAGGGCCATCAGAAACCCAAAACACCCATTTTTTGAGCACCCGCCCTGCCTGGCCTGGCCTGAGGCCCCCTGGTCCCTGGACACGCTGCGGTGAGGGGTCCGGGTCCTCCTGGCCTGGGGGCCTTGGGGTACCCTTCCCGAAACGGCCAGCAACCCCCATAACGAAGGGCTGGGGGTTTAGGGTATTTACTTTGTTAGGGGACCAGTAGTGTTAGGGGACCAGTACTGGTCCCCGGGAGAACCTGCTCCGGTACCCGGGCCCATCGTGGGTGCTACCGACCTCCTGGCTGCAGGAGGCGGGCAAGCGACCTGGGTCGACCTTCGCCATAGAGGTCGAAGGGCTTAAGCGCCGCCCCCCCTCTGAAGGGGGGCGGCCTAGGCCCTGAGTTTAGGGTTTAGGGCTTAGGGTTTAGGGTTTAGGGTTTAGGGTTTAGGGTTTAGGGTTTAGGGTTTAGGGTTTAGGGTTTAGGGTTTGGGGTTTAGGGTTTAGGGTTTAGGGTTTAGGGTTTGGGTTTAGGGTTTAGGGTTTAGGGTTTAGGGTTAGGGTTTAGAGTTCAGGGTTTTGAGCTTAGGGTTTAGGGCTCTGTGGTAGGGAGCTGGTTTGGGGGTCTCGGGGTATGGTGGTGCTTGACGGATTTGTGTGGTGACTTTTGTTCATGGCCACGTTGGGTTGTTTCCTCTGTCCGCGGCCGGGATGGTGTTGAAGGACTGGCCGAAAGGCGACGAGTCCGTCTGAAATTTGCGCTTGAAGGTCTAGGGCGGCAAGGGGTGGGCGCAAACTCTAACCCCTGAATCCTAAACCCTAAACCCTAAACCCTAAACCCTAAACCCTAAACCCTATCCCTTCACTAAGGCTCCTGGAACGTTATAAACGGCACTGCAACTGGCCGCAGCCCACGCCTTCAGCACATCGGCGGGATGTGAGAAGCTGACCGCAAACCTGAGGCCCGTGGTGCAGCTGTGGGGAGGTTTAGGGTTTCGGGTTTAGTTAGGGTTTATGTAGGGGTTGAGGTTTGAGAGTTGAGGTTTAGGGTTTAGGGTTTAGGGTTTAGGGTTTAGGGTTTAGGGTTTAGGGTTTAGGGTTTAGGGTTTAGGGTTTAGGGTTTAGGGTTTAGGGTCTAGGAATCAGAAAAGTCCTCCCAGAAAAGAAACAAAGTTCAGCCAGAGGCGCATCTCGCCGAGGCCTCCGGCCGCAAAGCGATGCCAGGCGCGCCGGCGCTCCCCCGCCATGGCGAGACGCCGGGGCCATTGGGGAGGAGGTGGTTTTTGGGGTTTGGGGTTTAGGGTTTAGGGTTTAGGGTTTAGGGCTTAGGGTTTGGGGTTTAGGCTTAGGGTTTGGGGTTTAGGGTTTGGGGTTTGCGGTTTAGGGTTTTCGGGCTCAGCTTGGTCTTGCAGAGCTCGTGGTTTAGGTCTGTGGCCATGCTCGGAGATTCCCAGGGGAGAGCTGCGCCATGACCTGGACTCTACGTGTCCAGTTCTCCAAAGAGCTACCAGGAATATGCCCCCCGACTCCCTGTATAATATCAACCATTGGGCTCCCTAGCTATATGGTATACTTGGCTGCACTTAGCAGGGTAGCTACAAATTTAGTTTTTAGCTGCCTTAGTAAGAAACCCAAAAAGCCCAAAAAGGCTAAGGATCTAAAGTTACAGTAAAGCTCCACAGAGTATATAGGGACTTAGTAAGGTATATAGGGGTTAGTTATCCAGGGCCACCCGAGCTAAGAGAAGGGAAAATATGGAAGACCACACAGAAGCTCCAGAGACAAACGGCTGACAGAGGTGCAGGGTTTAGGGTGCAGGGTTCAGGACGCAAAGCAACCCTAACCCGAAACCCTAAACCCTACCCTAAACCCAGGAATATAGAGCCTACCTGAATTACGATGGGTCTGGATCAAGGTTCACCCCAGCACCAACTTCTCCAAAATACTGGGAGTCCCCAGTTCCGAAACCCTTTTTAGGGTTTAGGGTTTAGGGTTTGGGGTTTAGGGTTTAGGGTTTAGGGTTTAGGGTTTAGGGTCTAGGGTTTAGGGTTTAGGGTTTAGGGTTTCTCTTTGGTTTCTGGGTATGCTTCCTAATGACGGGTACTTGGCTCCCCGGATACAAACCCACAAGCCCCAGAAGCCCCGTGTACCCAAACGCCCGGCCCTCAAAACCCTACCAACCCGCGAACACAAGCCCGTCAACCCTACTGAAGCCTAGCCCCTACAAAGTGAGTTTTCAAGAGTATACATATATGCATATATATATATATATATAGATACACTTCTACACATACATACTTGCAGAAGGTGCGGAACCAACACAAGATTTGTGCTTGACTGGCGGCAAAACCCTAAACCCCAACCCAACCTCAGTCCTCAACCAAAACCCCAAATCTCCCCTAACCCTGAACCCTAAACCCTAAACCCTAAACCTTAAACCCCAAACCCCAAACCCCAAACCCCAAACCCCAAACCCCAAACCCCAAACAAACCCAAAAGCATGTGCGAACCCGGCCTGCTGGAGGAGCTGCCGCTCCTCGCGGGCCTTCTCGTCATCCCCGTCCTCGGCCTTGGCCTGGCCGCAGAGTTTGGGGTTTGGGGTTTAGGGTTTAGGGTTTAGGGTTTAGGGTTTGGGGTTTGGGGTTTGGGGTTTAGGGCTTAGGGTTTAAAACCATTTGGCATCCAAATCCTCAACCCTACAAAGCCGAAACTCTCACCACCCAAACGTCGGTGGTTTTTCGGGTAGTTGCGGGTTTCGTTTCAGGTTTAGGGCTTAGGGCTTAGGGCTTAGGGCTTAGGGCTTAGGGCTTAGGGCTTAGGGCTTAGGGCTTAGGGCTTAGGGCTTAGGGCTTAGGGCTTAGGGCTTAGGGCTTAGGGTTTAGGGTTTAGGGTTTAGGGTTTAGGGGGTTTAGGGCTTGAGGCTTAGGATCTTGGGAGCTTAGGGTGTAGGGTTTAGGGTTTCAGGGCCTGGTTCACGAGCTGCACGAACACCACGCGCTCTGCCCAGGACCTTTGCGAAGCTGGAAGCCGAATATGAGGGCCTTCATAATTTAGGGTTTAGGGTTTAGGGTTTAGGGTTTAGGGTTTAAGGTTTAGGATAATTATACAGGGAACATAGGGGAATACCATTAGCAGCTACTCCGACCCTATAGTACCCTCCTCACATGCTGATCCTGGGTGGATGTTGAATATGATGAATCGCAAGAATTCATCCCCCTCCCCAAAATATTACTATGCAATGTGTTTCTGATATTTGGAAGGGGGGGGAGTGAAGCCTAAACCCTATGCTGCCGCTGGTTTTGAGCTTTGAGGCTGTAGGGCTGAGGCGTTTTGATCTAGGGCTTGGGTTTGGGGTTTAGGCTCTAGGCTTTACGTCCAGGGAGGCCCCTGGGTTTAGGGTTTAGGGTTTAGGGGTTAGGGGTTTAGGGTTTAGGGTTTAGGGTTTAGGGTTTAGGGTTTAGGGTTTAGGGTTTAGGGTTTAGGGTTTAGGGTTTAGGGTTTAGGGTCCGCCGACCCTGGCGGCGTGTTGGATAGGTTTCTGCCCCTTCTCTCCCCCCCCCCTCCCCCCCCCCCTTCTCTCCCCCCCCCCTCCCCCCCCCCCCCTCCCCCCCCCCCCCCTCCCCCCTCCCCCCCCGTTCCCACCCCCCCCCCCCCTCCCCCTTCCCCCCCCCCCAACCCTTCCTCCTTCCTGCAGTAAAAACTTAACCTGCACCCTAAACCCTGAACCCTAAGCCCTCCCACCCTTAACTCTAAGCCTGTGGTCATTGGGCTGTCCTCGGTTTAGGCTTTGGGGGTTTAGGGTTCCGGTTTCGGTTTAGGCTTTACTTTGGGGTTTAGGGTTCGGCTTTAGGGCTGAGGCTTTAGGGTTTCGGCTGTAGGGGATAGGGTTTCGGCTGTAGGGTTTAGGGTCGGGTTTGGGTTTAGGGTTTGGCGCCGGGGCACGCTGCGCCGCTTGAGCCCTGAACAATGCTCCGGCGGGGTCGGCGGCTTGAGCCGGAGGCTCGTAAATTTAGGGTTTAGGGTTTAGGGTTTAGGGTTTAGGGTTTAGGGTTTAGGGTTCAGGGTTTGGGGCTTCAGGAAAACCCGAAAGACTCAACACCTCGGGTGCCCCGGCGGTGACTTCTGGAGGAACTTGTGGAAGGCCATGATCTTGTGTGGGATGCCTTCCTTCTCCTGGCTTTCAGGAGTTTTGAACCCTAGGGTTCAGCGTTCAGGGTTTAGGGTTCAGGGTTCAGGGTTTAGGGTTTAGGGTTTAGGGTTTAGGGTTTAGGGTTTAGGGTTTAGGGTTTAGGGTTTAGGGCCTCATGCCGCTTAGCCAAGGCATACACCTCCAGCTCTGCAGGGTCCCCGTGAGCTACGGAAGACTCCAGAAAGGTTCTTGAGGGCTCGAGGCTTTCCTCTTCAGGGAGTTTAGGTTTTCACGGGCGGGCCGTGGCTGAGGTTTTTTTTGGGTTGAACATGAAGCCTGGCAACCTGGAACGGAAAGCCGCATCACCTTTAGTTCTGTCCTCATTCATTTTTGTCGCTTGTGTACCTAGGTGAGATATCACTATTCCATATTCAATATTATGTATTGCTCATCACGGTTTTGACGCGGGTAAGTGCTAAACCCTAAACCCTAAACCCCGAACCCTAAACCCTGAACCCTAAACCCTAAACCCTACACCCTAATTAAACCCTGAACCCTATATACACACTAAACCTTGAACTCTGAACCCTAAACCCCAAACCCAGAACCCTAAACCCTAATAGCCTAAACCCTGAATGAACCCTAAACCCTAAACCCCAAACCCTAAACTCTGAATGAACCTCTCTATCATAATGAATTTAAACCCTAATTCAAAAGTGGGCAACGGTGATTTTCGGCCTCAAAAGTGGGCAACGGTGACTTTCCTGGCCTCAAAAGTGGGCAACGGTGACTTTCCTGGCCTCAAAAGTGGGCAACGGTGACTTTCCTGGCCTCAAAAGTGGGCAACGGTGACTTTCCTATGCGGTTTTTTAGTACTGAAATCGACGGTTCTGGGTGGGCTCTCGTTTTCTGGATTTTTGACCAAACCGAGCCTTCACCGGCTTCAAGAATTTAAAGTTTTCAAAGTTTTTCAAGGTTTTTCAGAATTTTTCAATGTTTTTTAAGGTTTTTCAAAGTTTTTCAATGTGTTTCAGGCCTCCAAAAACACCCCAAATGAGGGGGGACCCCAGGATCGGCCTGGGTCCCTATTAAAAATGCGATTTTTTAGTACTGAAATCGACGGTTCTGGGTGGCCTCTCGTTTTCTGGATTTTTGACCAAAACTGAGCCTTCACCGATAGGGGCTTCTAAACCGTAGGGTTTAAGGCCTTAAGAGCATTAAGGGCCTATCGTGAGCCTTAGATTAGATTTCGGGTTTTGGGTCCGTTAAAAACGAAGTATTGGGAATGTATTGAGTGAACTTTGTATTTTCTCAATGTTATGGGTTTCTTGGGTGGGTGGGTTTTTTTCCAACGCTTGACAAGCTGCTTGACTAGTGAATGCTCGGACTTGAGATGCTGAACACTAAACCCCAAACCCTAAATGCAAGGAAACCCGCCTCGAGGCGATCCAAGGCCATGAGGATCGTCTTGCCCGCGAAGGTGCTGGCAAGCAACTTGGGTTGAAGGGCTTAAGGGTGCAGCCTCAGCCCCACTAGGGTTTGGGGCTTGGGGTTTGGGGTTTAGGGTTTGGGGTTTAGGGTTTGGGGTTTAGGGTTTGGGGTTTAGGGTTTAGGGTTTAGGGTTTGGGGTTTAGGACTGAGGGTTCAACCCTGAAGCCTCGATTTGTAAGGCGTGAGAGAGTGGCGACTCACTGCTTCCCAGCTTGCCCCCTCGAGGCCAACGATACACGCAACTCTGAACGGGAGCCCTAAACCCTAAACCCTAAACCCTAAACCCTCAACCCTAAACCCTAAACCCTGAACCCAAACCCCTTAACCATGAACCCGAAAACCCCAGAGTAGCGTCAGCCTTGCTCTGGGAATCCCACACAGGTACCCCCAACCCTAAACACAGGACTTCATACGCAGGGGCTCCGAGACCCCTTACTTAAGGAATATTCCTTAAATATCTTGAAATATAGAAGGGTTTCTTACAATTGTTCAAGGAATATTCAGTGATTAAGGAGTATTGGAGTCTCTGGGTAAACCCCAAAATTGGGATGTTCCCCCCTAACAGTCCTTCATACGGATTATAATAGGGGGGCACATCTAAGACTGTTAGTATAAGGGTGAACATCC